GCACAAGCAGGATCACGGGAACAAGTATAAAAAAACTATAGGAATATCGCAGTGGATGTTCCCCCGCTTCCTTTGAAAATCTAGTTTTCGAGAAGTCTTCTGCAAAAGGAAAGTGGAAAAACAATGAATTTGAAATAAGAAACTTAATATGTAAAGCGTATAGTCGTAATGTTGTACTAAATATCTATAGAAAGTTTGACCTTTAACAAATGGTGGATGATAAAAATTAATCACAGAATTTCGAAAAGCTCCTTGCCCAGATCTTCATCAGCATCCTTTCTCTCGAGATATTGAATTTTGTCCTCTACACTCGCAATTTGATGCTCAATGCATTTGATTTCAAGGTCTGTCTTTCCCTGCACTTTCTTCTCTATCACAATCATCTGCTGATAGTACTCAAGTGCCTTTCGATAATATTTAACTGCCATTCTCGGATCATCAACACCCGGCCATTCATAGACTTCAGCAAGATCTCTACAGATATCAGCAAGGGTCTCTCGACTATTCAATTCCTGATCGTCAATGAATGGCAGCCAAAGTTTAATTGCATTTTCATAATATTTCAATATCGGTTTCAAATCAGAATTCGCCCATCTATTCATATAGTCGCGAGTGTACGCAAAGGCAAGTGTATGCATTTCAATTGCAAGTAGCCATTGTTCACTTTCGAATAAATTTAAAAGTTCTTTGAAAACGAGACGAATATTGGATAGTGATAGGACGACAGGGAAAGTTTGATGTACGAGGCTGAGAGATTGTTTTAACATTTTTCGGCTGCTTCCCATGTACGGGAGAATTTTTGTTTCGTCACCTTCGTTATCCTCCTCATCGATGTAACTGTGCGAATCTAGTTCAAGAGTGTTCCATATATATTGCGAACCACCTTCGACGAAGCTCAATTTGATAATCCAAATATGTTCCATCTGACTATATTCTACATCAATCACCTGAAATTCAGTTCCATAGCTAAAGAGCACTTCTGTCTCTGAAGGAAATTGACTAAATGAAGAGATATCAGCATAGGGTTGTGATGATTTCAATGTTAAATCAATTTTAATTTCAAAGAGAACACTCTGTTTATCATCTGACCGTTGAAGAGATGGATTGAGAAGAATGAGAGCTAACTGTCGATTCATTGTTGTTGAAAAGAAACTATTTGTAAAGAAACGTGAAGTGTTTTTCTGTAGTTTTCGTACTTCAACACGTGAAATAAATTGACCACGATAGACGGTGATAACGTGAGTCTTCTTATCGTGTACCATTTCGAATTTAAATTTTTTATTGAGATCTTTCAATTGAACAAAGAGATCTTTCAGAAAGAAGGTGAATAAAAGTATAAATTCAATATTACGTTGACATAGAGCTTTATTCAATAGCTGATAGAGTCTAGGCGAGTCACATGTATACCAGTAGACAGCATTCGACGACGTATAGCTCCGTTCAAGGACGTTGAGCCTTTCCAGCGTAAATTGATTGCCTTCGTAATAGTCTCTCAATGTTGTGATAAGACGAGACAGACAAAAATTAGTTGCAGGCAACGGTAGGTAGCAAAGAATTATAAGAAATTTAAACCAATCAGTATCGAGAAGATCACCAGCGACGAGACCGTCAGCGTTGGAAACAGATAAAATATTTTCTTCTTTTAAATATTTTTTCACATCTTCAGAGAGATCATGAAGCAGTGGATTCAGTGAATGGTAACGCTGCTGTCCAATCTATTTGATGACAAGAAAAACAAAGAGGAATTAAAAAAACAAGCTCTAAAACTTACTTCTGCTGAGCTGTTCACTTCTTGTTCGCAATAAATATAGATTCTTCGAATATTTTTGAACGTTTTAATTCTGGAGAGAACTGAAGAAGACGAAGCCACCTGTTGTTCTGAGCAGATAAAAAACGTTGCTATCGAACTTGTAGACTGGAGAAACTTCAGACATTCATCGAGATCAGTAAAGATGAGAGAGTAATCGACGAATTTTCGTAGGATTAAAAGAGTGAGCTGATGATCTTTTTGTTGTTGTTCTGTAGTAGTTATAATGAAATGGATCAATTGATATGACTCAAGATTCACATCTTTCCGATGGATCTTTGGTACTAGGAATGACGGTTTCTGCGTAGGGCTTGAGAGATCTTCTTTGAAGTGTGTTTTGCATGTCGATTGTCTCTCTAAAACAAATGGGGGAGCGTACAAGTGGATCTTTAGGGGACGCTCTTTTTTCGGGTTTTGAGTCGTCTCAGATCCGACGACCTTGAGAAAGACCTAGTCAACAGACAACCTTCATCCTTTCTCAAGTTCGTCGGAGAAAATAAAAAAGAAAGTGTTCAGCGAGAGTTTTAAAATCTCTATTAATTTTGCTGAAGTGAGACATCTTACCTTCTTCTTCTCTCGCTGCACTTTTCGACTTCGTTACTTCATACTCATACTCATCGTCTTCTTCAGGCATTTCACTGCTCTCCGACGGTTGAGTTTGCTGCAACTCTTTTAAGGTAAAACCATCCGTCTGTGTGTCTTCCTCAGCGACTCTGATGAGACAACAATTTGGATCGATTCCGATTGGCTTTGTTTCAATTTCCAACGTCAATTGCCTTTTTAAATCTTGGTATGACTCTTCTAGGCGAGTTGCTGAGTTATTGTTATTAGAGAGTAAGAGTTGAGTCTGGAGATCATTGATTTTGTCTTTGAATCGCTGAAATTGAATATTATTTGCTTGTATTAGTTCCTTCCGTTTGAGTTCAGCGAAAGAATGAACAGCAGCATATGAATGAACCACCCAGTCATCAATAATTCCGAATTGATCACGAAGATGATCTTCAGGTTTAAGTAGAAGAAGCTTCACCTTCTCCCTGAGTTCATTCATTTTTTCAAAAGAGATGAAGGACAATTCTTGTTTGATTGTTTCTACAACACATTTTCATTTACCTCTAGGGCTTTTTTCCCCGCTCGTTCTCTCTCTCTCTCTCTCTTCTACAAAGAATTTATAACAGAGGGCGACAATGAAAGATGAAGAAAAAATAATTTTAATTAAGGGTTTCTCATATGTAGAAGAAAAGAACGTAAATGCTACCTCACCTTTGATCTTATTTATTTGAGAAGAGGAGTGCTCAGTTTCCTCTCAAAAAATAAACGTGGAATGAAATTTTTAGAAGAGACAGACAGAGAAATACAGTTATTACTACATTTTCTTCTATAGAGAACAGCAACGTGCAATAGAAAAAACGCTGCGTTAAAAAAGGCTTCATACATGTTCATGACAATATTTCTTTTCACTTTCTGAATTTTGTCTGAATTTCCTCCCTCCCCTCTCAAGTCTTACTATCAATCCCTCTGTTCTCTAATCTGCAGAGTTTTGACAGTTTTCTTCATATAGAGAGTGGTAGAGCAGGGAGGAACCGATTTAGAAAAAATGATAAAAGAATAATTTTTACAAGTGAAAAAAGACGACTTTTTAAACCTAAAGAAAGTCCTTCAGAATCTGAAGTTCACCTCGCAACTCGGCACTCAAGAGATCTTCGGAAGGACTAGTAAAAATATTTACAAACGAAGGATATGGGAAACGATGAAGACGGAAGACAGAGAAACCCCAGCACTTCTACATTCTCATTCCACTGAATAGACAGACATCTAGAATTTGTCTTGAGGATGTCTTATTCAAAACATTCTTCTCCCCTGTTGCTGCTGCTGTTGTTCTTCAGCGTTCATTTTCGTTGAGTTCATTGCATTTTTTTTGAGCTTTGGTAATTCTAAAACTGAATAGAAGCATAAGTTTTCGATCATGCTGATATACTCATTCTCATTTGTTTTTTTTATGTTAATGTAAATATAGTCTAATATATTAGAAAAATAGATAAAAAATACATGAACACAGAGATAATAAGACATTTAGTATTTAATATAGTATAATTAATTGTTTTGTACCAAAAAAACCGCCTTCTAATTTTGTTCTGATGTCGAACTTTTTTCTGATGGATTTGCCTGCTATCCATGGTAATAATTAACACGCAAATCTCGTTTGATAAGGCCCAAAAGTTAAATAGATGTCTTGTTTATAATATAACTGAGGTTAAATCAAAGGATCATACCGACATTAGATATAATGCATTCACATCGTCGGCAACCGATATGATCCTGATCTTAATATTTAAATAGTTTATGTTTTCCTAAAATAAAGCACATACTGAAGGCTATGCTAAGATGTTTATGATTTCTAATAATCAAGTTATCTTCTAATAACAAGCTCAAGTTCGGGGAGTAAAGTCGCGTTTCGCAAAGTCGACTTTCGCCAATACCTATCCTCAATATTCATTGGATAGTCCTCATTGAATGTTTAAAAATCAGACACTATCACGTGCGGACCAATTTCTACTCTTGCCCCTCCCCTTTATTAAACAACCTTTGATTTGCACTTAACTTTTTTACGCTGCACATTACATTGTTGTTTTCTTTAAAACGATTTTGTTACGATTGCTCTTTCACAAGTTTCGTAACAATAATTTCCTGTTGTGCAATAATATTTTTTTTTCACAGTTTTCATCCTCTTTACATTACTGTTACCGCTCATCACTACCCTCAACTGGTCAAACAATAATTATCTTCATGCCGTCATAAAACCTCGGACATTCACATTATCAACCGCTCTTTGACAAAATGATAACGTAAACGACGATATATGCGCATTTTTCTACTCTACATAGTTCCCACTATCAAGATTTATGCTACCTCAACGTTTATATGTGTGATTTTCAAACTTTAAATGGTTTTTTCTTGCGATAAATTATCCGATGTTTTGTGACTGTGTGAGCTCATTTTATCTTGAATACCAGTGAAAAGTTGTGCAATCAACGTTTTTTGTTCTTTTGCCGATCCTTAATAAAATAAACTAAAATAAAAACCTGTTTTCAATTGTTGTTACTTTTGCCAAATTTTTGTTGTTATTGATTTATCGATCTCTCTCTCCCTCACACTTCATTTTGATGTCACATTTTCGGATCGAGGTTACATCCTTTTTCGGAGGGGAACGGTGTTACGATCCTGCACAATCCGTCTTCTTTTTCATTCACATCTCAGCGGATCTGATCATTTCTCTTTTTAATAAGATGTCGGAAATTCGAAAGGTACACACAAAAATAGATTTTCTTTGAATATACATGGTTGAATAGCCCGTGAAACGTAGATTCCGAATATCACCTTTTTATACACTTTTGATCAAGTTAAGATCAAGTCAAACATTGTAAAGTCGCACATTTTTTAATTTAATTTGTACGTTAAAACACCAGTACTATTGGAATAATACGGGTAATAGTAAAACATGAAGACACCCACAGACACCCACAGACACCCA